CTTCCTTTTTCGTATAACACATACATGTAATCCACTCTTCGGTACTTACATATATGACCTTATTGTGTTGCAAGTGCCGTAAAACTAAGAGCTAACTAAGACTATCTGAAACCGTGAGTTTTAGTAAGCGTTTTACGGCACTTGCAACTGCATAAGGTCATATGTGCGCCTGAAGATTAGAGGTGTTACAAGAGAGTAACAAACATAAAAAAAGAAGAAGGGGAGATAAGGACGATAGATGTTCCATAGGAAAGAAGGAGCAAACCCCATCAGAGCACCCGCCAACCACCCACCGATCCAATCCGATTTGTTTTGTTTCAGTAAAGAAAGGCACATCGACACAATAATGATAGTCATGTAGTGCTGGCAAAAAGACAAACAGACAGACAGACAGACAGACAGACAGACAGAGAGACAGACAACAGAGGAAAAGTAAAAGAAGTAGCAACTACCAGTGGCACCCTCCAATCACCCACCGACCCGACCCGATCTGATCTGATCAGGTTTTTAAAGTTCCAGTATGAGAAGAAAGGTGAGATATTAAAAAAGAAAACGAATTTCTTTTTTTGGGGGGGGTATGTTTTACGGCTCTCGCAAATGCATAAGGTCATATTATGAGCGCGCGGGACACACCAAACATTTTCACTTGATAAGAAATTTCGAATTTTGCCCGGGTGGCAGCCGAAGCCTACTCGTATCGATTTTTGGACCACAAAAGGGTCTTTAATGTAGAAAGGATGCAGAAAGAGTCAGGAGCCCAGAGGAGGGGGGCAGAGGAGATGAGGGGGTGGGGGCAGAAAGTAGAGATGAAAGCAGACGAGAGAACATTGTTAGAGAGCAGGAAATGAGGGGAAAGGAGACGACAATTAATTTAGAGAAAAAAATTGTTATGTCGCTATCCGGATTCGAACCCGGGACCTGTAGAATAGGAGGTGAACACATTAACCTCTTGGCCACTTTAGTTTTAGTAAGAGTTTTACGGCACTTGCAACACAATAAGGTCAGATTAGTGTGCGAAAATTAGAAATGTTACAAGAGAGTAACAAACATAAAAAAATGAGGAGAGATCAAGACGATAGAATATGTTTGATAGGAAAGAAGAAGCAAACCACACCAGAGTACCCGCCATTGAATGAGAGGCGAACACCTGAACCTATAGGCTTCGAGAGCCCCCCAAAAACCTAATTGGTTGTGTATAACCCCCAGGGATTAGACGGGCTGCGACATATGGCGGACGGGCGCATGGTGAAAGGGCTGATCGAGGTTCGATTACGGTCGATAAGAGAAGACTAAACAGTTGTGATGGATTATGGAGGACTCACGCTGTGCAGCTGCTGGGGGTGGGTGAGTAAGGTGGAGTGTGTGTGTGTGTTAGGGGGGAAAGGGGAGGGGGGTGAGTGAGGTGTGTAGTGAGGTGGGAGGGGTGTAGTGTGTGTGTGTGTGTGTGTGTGTGTGTGTGTGTGAGAGAGAGAGAGAGAGAGAGAGAGAGAGAGAGAGAGAGAGAGAGAGGGGGGGGTGAGGAAGGGTGGGGGTAGTAAAAGAGAGACTAACATGATTAAAAGATATAGACAGATAGATAAACAGACAGACAGACTTGGATGATTAAAAGAGAGGCAGAGATGATTAAAGCTATTAAGAGAGAGAGAGAGAGA